CAGAACGGCAGAAATACAGGCAGATATCTATTATGCAAATGAAGACTTAATTTGCATAATTAACGAGAAAATGTTATAATTACATAGTGGTAATGTCTGGAATTTCATACTTGGGATATTTGAAAGTTATGTGAAGGTGAACATTATCAAACATAATTTATTCAAATAAGGACCTCATTTGCATAGTTTATGAGGACATGCTATAATGGCATGCATTGATAAGATAAGACTGTCTTCTGGTGTAGAATATGATCAACAGATATAATTGATGCAATATAGGATCCTATTCGCACAATCAGGGGGATTCATTTATAATTTCTTAATCATAAAGGCTAACATCATTTGGCGAAGGTATGAGATCGTGGAACTCTAGTTCTAAATGATATCATATATCTACACAATATAGAGTACTGGTGTAAACAATTTTGCATGCAATCATTCAAAACAGTCAATAGAGATAGGTGTCTACATGTACAACATGTATGTTTTTCTATGTTTTAATATATTAGGCCACACCAATTTAATTTCTTGGTTAACGGATTTTTCTAGAAAAATAATGGAGCGGGCATGCGAAAAAAAAATAAAAATAAAAACAGGCCTAGGCATCCTATTATGGTCCAAAATGGTACGATAGGAGCCATGAAGTCAACACACCAGGCTGGTTCAAAATCTAAACAATGAATTTTGAACTTTTAATGATACCATTGCATTGAAAGATGGAATAACTGTAACAACTAGGATAAAAAGGACTGTTTTCAACTGTTCAGGGCAAAATATGAGCATTTTGCAGGTGATTCTGAATTTTTATTTTCATTTGCAAATCAGAAAAAAATGAAGCGGGCGAATCCGTTAACCAAGAAATTAAATTGGTGTGGCCTTATGAACACAATTTTCACCTGATATCCACAAAAACGGAACTTTCAAAACCCTATGTAACTATTTGCTATCAGCCTGCTAAGCGTTTAAAACCCAGACTGTCTTTCTTTTGCCTAATGGACAATTGTTTGTGGCCTTCCATGCATGCAAGTACACCTCTACATTTGGTAACTCCCTCCCAAAAAACTGGTACTACCAGTTTTCACATCTTTTGTGTAGGACATATGACCCGAGCATGCCCACATATTAGTTTGCACTGTTACACACTTCTGCCTTTGAAGACTGTAATAGTCCTGTTGCCCTCATCTTTTGGGTCACCGGCGGTAGCTGATTGTTAGTGAAGAGTTATTCCCCCAGGCAAAATTCATAAGGACACCTGCAGTCTAGTTATGATTCATGATTTAGGCCAGAATAATGAGACATTTTGGTTGTCTGCTTGTCAGAAACGATAACGCATTTCAGTAGTATTCTGTGTTAGGCTGACAGTATGTGTCATAAAATATATGATTTTTTTTCACAAACATTTTCTAGTAAAATGACTGCAGATTCTTTATCTTTCCAGATCAGTGGCTGGTTGCCATATCAGCTATCTTGTACTTTGCAAGATAAGGAATCTGCGTCACTGGTCTCAGCTTTCTTGTGAGATAAGGAGTTGGCGTGACTGGTTTAAGGCTTGCTTGCGGGTCCATCTTCCCAGTGTATGATTGTCAGTCTACTATTCTACAAACAGTAGAAAAGCAAAGCTCTTAGCACTTAGGGGTGTTAAGATGCACATTCTGATAGTTGTCAGGCATTCTTATCAGTTGTACTTTTACAATGCGAAGTGCCTTGGGCCACGCAGGGATCTTAACACATGTATACAGGTAGACTTCACCTGTAGATTTGGGTCACCTGGCAGACAAGACCACTGATGTTCACTTAGGCCACACCAATTTAATTTCTTGGTTAACGGATTTTTCTAGAAAAATAATGGAGCGGGCGGGCGAAAAAAATAAAATAAAACAGGCCTAGGCATCGTATTATGGCCCAAAATGGTACGACAGGAGCCATGAAGTCAACACACCAGGCTGGTTCAAAATTTAAACAATGAATTTTGAACTTTTAATGATACCATTGCATTGAAAGATGGAATAACTGTAACAACTAGGATGAAAAGGTCTGTTTTCAACTGTTCAGGGCAAAATATGAGCATTTTGCAGTTGATTCTGGATTTTTATTTTTATTTGCAAATCTGAAAAAATGAAGCGGCGAATCCGTTAACCAAGAAATTAAATTGGTGTGGCCTTAGGCACTGTGATAAGAAAGCGTTGGTCCTAGCACTTTTGTGTAACAGTACGAAATGTAATCTTTTAGTTTAAGCTTTAAAACCAGTTAAAACTTGGAAAATCCTTTAGTTTATGTTTTAAAACCAGTTTGGAAAATCCTTTAGTTTATGTTTTAAAACCAGTTAAAATTTGGAAAATCCTTTAGTTTATGTTTTACAACCAGTTAAAATTTGGAAAATCCTTTAGTTTATGTTTTAAAACCAGTTAAAATTTGGAAAATCCTTTAGTTTATGTTTTAAAACCAGTTAAAATTTGGAAAATCCGCCAAACAACTTCAAGGCAAATATCTTGTGTATTCTATTCTTGTATGACTAGTATAGAATAGTACATCAGGAATCACTGTGAATATACATTAACTGCACTTACTACAACAGAACTGTTTTGATTGCAAACTTAAAACTCAGAGAACGACTCCTTCCCCTACCACAAATTTAGGTTGTAGAATACGGAAATAAATGAATTAACAGTAAAGTGTTCTATCCCTATGGACTATTCTGCCAGGACAAGGTAGGAAGAGAAACTAAGAATACCTTTCCAGCATTCAAATAAATACCCACAGCATTCACACATCTAGAGTGTCTAAAACAACACAACCATAGGTCCCAGCAAACAGAGCTTGCAGGTGAGTTTACTGAGCTGCTTGTGTTGACAGTCTGAGATGGCAGGCCTCCTTGTCCCCTTTGGGTAAGCCTGAAGTAATCCCCTCACTATACTGGCTCATAAAGTCTAAGCCTGTTCATTGCTGTAGCATTAAGTCATCACTATATTAATGTCAGTCATAACAAACACTAAGGCCACACCAAATTAATTTCTTGGTTAACGGATTCGCCCGCTTAATTTTTTTCTTATTTGCAAATAAAAATAAAAATTCAGAATCAACTAGAAATGCTCATATTTTGCCCTGAACAGTTGAAAACAGTCCTTTTCTTCCTAGTTGTTACAGTTATTCCATCTTTCAATGCAGTGGTATCAGAAAAGTACAAAATTCATTGTTTAAATTTTGAACCAGCCTGGTGTGTTGACTTCATGGCTCCTACATGTATCTTTTGGGCCATAATAGGATGCCTAGGCTTGTTTTTATTTTTATTTTTTTTCGCCCGCCCGCTCCATTATTTTTCTAGAAACATCCGTTAACCAAGAAATTAAATTGGTGTGGCCTAATAATGGAATAGCTTGTGGACCATCTAACAGTAAACTACATCTCCGTAGGGAATTTTAAAAGCAAATTAAAAACTTTACGTGCAACTTTCTAATCTCTTTCTAAGACTCGCTGAAAAATGTCTTTTTTTTCTTTAACATTGTTCTGAGGAAGATAACATTTCCACAACACATCTAGATTAATAATAATAATAGGTTTGATTTCTGATATTCACTTAACAAAATCACCACTTGGTAAAGCAAGGATATTAATATTCATCATGTAAAGAAACCAAAATTCAAGTTCTATCTATTTTCACTGTGCAACAGGCATCAGTATATATTGATTTTACACAACTTTGAATTTTCCTGGTCTATGAAATACCTTTGCTGGAATCCACTACAAGATTAGAACCCAGACTTACGAAGACAAACAAGATTTCTAGAGGCAAACTAACTCCAGCCAGGTCCGATTCTGTTAGCTCTGCAAAATTCCCAATCAGAGGCAACTTCTCCATGGACGGGGATCCCAGGTGGACGGAAGAATTAGGAAAATCCAGTGTTTGGACTGAATTAAGGTGCTCTAATCCCTGCAGATTAGCCAAGCTCTCACGGCATCTGCATTCCAGCCATTCCGTTGCCAGCCTTACAAGAAAGTGTGCAACCAAGTTGAAAAGAATTCCAACATTAAAGGCAAAACACAGACATGTTGTTTTCTGACAACAGTCTCCGGATTTGTTGTGCCAATTTTTGCATTGTGACTTCTGCTGCCAAAACAAGAAAATCACGTCAAAATTGAAATTTCTGCCATTTCATTAACACCTCATTTAAGGAGTGTATCCGACCAAGTAAAAAAATTCCGGCTGAAGGCACTTAGCTGGTATTGTTTTTTCAGCAACAATCGAAGAATTTGTTGATAGGCAATCTTTCCATTGTGACCACTGATGCCAAAACAAGAACATCATGCCAAAAAGCTATCCATCGGATCAGGAGTTTTGTTCCCTTTTTGACTGCCATTGTTTTTTCTTTTTGTTCATGATGCAAAGTCATCCTAATTATGATTCACAACAAAGATTAGGTCAACTTCAAAGAGACCCCAAAGCTCTATCAGACCAATGTCAAGGTGAGCAGTATTGTTTCTGTTCCTGTTTACAAAGCTTTGTGGCAATGTCTCACTATTGCTCGCAGATGAAACAATGACAGGACACACCTGTTTTGTTTATTTAGCATTCCAGCAATGCTCAAAGCATGCAGATTGAAAATGCTGACCTAAAGGATGTTCACCTGGGGCAGCCATCTGAAGATACAGTCTAACAGGTGGCCACAAGCCATCTGAAGATACAGTCTAACAGGTGGCCACAAGCCATCTGAAGATACAGTCTAACAGGTGGCCACAAGCCATCTGAAGATACAGTCTAACAGGTGGCCACAAGCCATCTGAAGATACAGTCTAACAGGTGGCCACAAGCCATCTGAAGATACAGTCTAACAGGTGGCCACAAGTTTATTGAAATGTCTTTCCAGGCCTTAGTACATAGCAATTTGCATAATGTATCAGTTATATGTTTTAATTAGTACTTCCTTTGATCTCAATGTGATGTTTGCACTTTCAATAGGTGTGACAATTTCATTCAAATCAAAACAGATCAGAAGGTACCCTACCTTTCCGTTCCTCCTGGCTGTGACCGTGTGCCACTGTCCGTCAGCCACGTTCCTATCCACCTCTATCCTGGTGATCCCATCTCCCAGCTGGTACGACAGTCGCAGCTTCCCCTCGATGATTTCCAGTGCGATGAAATCCGACGAGTCTGACTCTTCAGCATCGTAGTTGTACAAGAGGAGGGCGTTTGTCATGACGGTTGCGAATTCGATCATGATGTCGTTGTTACGCTGGTCCAGCACCGGGAACTGCATGTAGGAAACCTCTTCAAATCCGTAGCTGGTGATCTCACAGTTGTCTCCCTTCTCTCCGAACTGACACCGGCAGGAGTACGACGTCTGCCCGTCGGTGCACGTGCCGTTGTTGAGGCACGGCTGGGAGACGCAGTAGTCCACGTCAATTTCGCAGTTCTTCCCGGTGTAGCCTTGCGCACAGGAACAGGTGTAGTCGTTCAGCCCTTGCAGGCACTGCCCACCGTTCCGACAGGGGTTGCTGCTGCATTCGTCGACGTCGTTCTGGCATCTGTTGCCATGGTAACCAGGTGGGCATTCACAGCTGAAGGTGCCGATCTCGTCAGTACAGGTGCCTCCGTTAAGACAGGGGGTTGCATCGCACTCGTTTATCTCAGTCTCACAGCTATCCCCTGTGTAACCTGTGGGGCAACTACAGGTGAAACGGTTGCCTGTGTCCACAGACACGAAGATCACCGGATCGCTTTCCAGAATGTTCCTGGCCGAGGTGACCTGAAGGGATTTGCTACAGACGCCACCATGTTGGCATGGGTTGTCATCGCAAGGGTTAAAGTTCACAGCAACAATGGAAACACTTGCCCTGCTTTCGATGTTAGCCTTACTGTTTGTGATGGCCGTAGAAGCTTGCCGTGGCACCATGAACTGTTGGTTTGTTTGCTGAAGGGCAAGAATAAGGTCGAGATCTTCTCCAGTATTCTCCATGCTGTACAGAACGGTATTGAAGACCCCTGAAATGCCGTTTAGTGCGGTGATGAAGTTTGTATAGGAGTTCTTCAAAAAGTTGCTGGCAGTTACGTTGTCGAGCCTTACAATGATGCCATTGGCTACCGCGTCAGTGGTGAACTCTCGGAAATGGACGCTGACGGTGGATACTACAGAAGCGTGGACACCATCGTCTCCGCTCACTCGGAGAGTGTAGTCAGTTACTGTGTTGATTCGACCAGTGTTGAGATTACACAAGGAGGGGATGGCAAAGACCTGGGTGTTGCCTTGAGTGATGGTACAGCTAAATGTGTCACCAACGTCCGGATCAACTGGATGCACGTTTCCTATTGGTCCGCCTGGGAACGACCCATCCTGGCTGTGGATGTAGATGTCGACGGTACGCGGTGTGGACGGATTATCGTTGACATCCTCCACAACAATGTGGACTGTGTGGGTAGAGGACATGGAGGGGGACCCTGAATCGGTGGTCTCCACAATCAAGTAGAAGTCGCTCTGTTGCTCGCGGTCGATCAGACGGGTTGTGCTGAGTCGGCCACTGCTCTGTTCCAGGGTGAAGTACTGGGAGTTATGTCCTCCAATCAAACGGTACGAGAATGGTCCGCGGTTCGGATCGAGGTCAGGATCAGTGGCGCTGAGCGTCATCACTTCTGTTGGAGCACTGTTTTCTAGGACGTAACCTGTGACAGTTGGTGGATCGAATTCAGGGCCATTGTCGTTGATATCATCAATGTTAACAACAACGTAGGTTGTGCCTGTCGCCGGAGGAATACCAGAGTCTGTTGCGGTGACAGTAAGGTTGTAGGTATCAATAGTTTCCCGGTCCAGCTGACTTGCCGTGGTTATTATGCCGCTGATCTGGTTTATGCTAAAAGCAGTGCCCTCGTTCCCATCTTGGATGCCGTACACAAAGGATCTGAAATCTGCCCTCAAGTCGTTGTCAATAGCAGACACGGTGAGAACTGAGGTGCCAATGTTGTCTCCCTCACTCACATGCCCCTCATACAGGCTGAATTCGAACACAGGAGGGTCATTAGCATCAATGATGGTGATGTTCACTTGGACTTCGTCAATGTCATTACCAAGGATGCTGCCACGGTTTTTCGCAATGACGGACAGAATGATATGGCTGGACGTCTCCCTGTCAAGCCTCCGTGCTACAGTTATGGCTCCGCTCTCTAAACCAATGGCGAATCCTTTGTCGTTGCTGCTGCCCACAAGGATGTAGTCCACAATGCCATCAACTCCGTCGTCCCTGTCTGTCGCATACACTGTACCCACAGTTGTGCCTGTTTCCGCAGATTCTGAAATCTCGAAGGTGTATAGTCTCTGCAGGAAGACTGGAGCATACTCGTTCTCTCCTGAGAGGTGGATGTTAACAGTGCAGGTGCCAAACCTGGAGGATGCCTCCACATTGGTTGCTGTGACTTGCAGAGTGTACATCTGCTTCCGCTCGTAGTCCAGGCCTCCCTGGGAGGTGATCTCACCAGTAACTGGATCGATGATGAAGAGGTCCCGACCGTCTCCTCCAGTGATCTGGTACCTGATCGCAGCGTTAGCTCCAGTGTCTGCATCGGTGGCTGTTACCATGACGACAGACGTGCCGCTTGGAGAGTTCTCAGGAATGCTGGGGTCGTACGTTGCGGGGTCGAACATCGGGTCGTTGTCGTTAACATCTGTGAGGTCTACCATGAGGATGACAAAGCTCTCACGATAGAGGAGCCCGCGGTCACGAGCAGAGATGTTGAGGTGATACGTCGGCGTGGTTTCGTAGTCCAAGACCCCTGCAACTGTTACAGACCCCGTCCGAGGATCGATATAAAACTGTCCACGTTCGTCACCTCCAACGATGGAGTACCTGATCTCACCGTTGACACCTGCGTCTCTGTCTGTGGCTACGACAGTGAAGACGTGGCTGTTCATTGGGCGACTCTCCTCGATGGTCACCTGGTAGGATGGAGCGGAGAAATCTGGTGCGTACACATTGACGTTAGTCACGAGGATGGAGACATCTGTGGTGGTAGACAGAGCTGGGCTGCCCTGGTCGCGGGCTTGTTCCGTCACAGAGTACCAGACGTTCTGACGATTAGACAGGGATGAGCTGACTGAAACCCAGCCTGTTGTTCTGTCAATGTTGAACAGATCTGTTCCGTTGCCACCTGTGATGGAATACTCCACCTCAGCGTTGCTGCCAATGTCCTGGTTGTCCACAGCGTAGACTTGGATGATCATCTCTCCGATCTGTGCGTTTTCTGGCACAGGGCTGAAATACGACACCTCCTGGAAGACTGGTGCGTGGTCATTGGCGTCGATGACGTTAATGATCACGGTGACTTCTCCAGACAGAGGAGGGGTGCCACGGTCGGTGGCGATCACCACAAACTGGTGGTGGTTAGGGTTGGTGGTGCCAGTCCATTCGGGGACAAATTCCAGGGAATTCTTCGTCAAGATAGACCCAGTATTCTCATCAAGGCGGAAGTAATTTGAAAGGGTCTTCATGCGATAAAAGACTTCCGCATTCGTGCCTTCGTCTTCATCAGTTGCTACCAGTCTTGTTACCAGCTGGTTAGCACGGATCCCTTCTGGCAGGTTGCGTTCGAAAACGGGAGCACTGAAGCGAGGTGGGTTGTCGTTCACATCAAGTATAGTGATGGACAGTGGGGTGTTTGCTTCCCATGCAGAGTCTTCTGCTATGACAAGGAGCTGGTAGTGGTCACTGATTTCTCGATCCAGGGTGGATGCGACTGTGACATTCCCGCTGTCACGTCCCATGTTAAACTTGCCCCGAGCTTCTGCGTACTGCGAGTCTAGGGAGAACTTGTACTGGGCCATGGCATTGGTGCCAATGTCAGGATCTGTGGTGCTGACTTGTATGACAAATGAACCTATCGGTGAATCCTCATAGATGGAGGTGCTGTAGAGGTTCTGGAACTGCATGGGGTTGTCGTTCTTGTCTTCTACAGTAATGAGGACTGTAGCAGTGCCTGTCAGAGTTGGGGAGCCCTTATCAACTGCCTCCACTACAAGACTGTAGCTGTCCCGTTGCTCCCTGTCCAGGAATCTTCTGGTGCTGACCAGACCGGTGTTGGGGTCAACTTGGAAGGAGTTGTCCAAGTTTCCTGCAGCTCGGAGTCTGTATTCAAACTCTCCGTTTGACCCTGAGTCTGCATCAGAGGCAGACACTGTCACCACGCTTGTAAATGTTCCTTCGTTCTCTCCGACAGAGCCAACGTACGGATCTTGGGAAAAGATTGGCGGGTTGTCGTTTACATCAGTTAGGGCTATCCTCAGCCTGTGGTACCTGGATAACGCTGGGCTATCGCTGTCCCTCGCTTCCATCCATAGATTGAAAGAGCTTGTTTCCTCATAGTTCAGGCTCCTTCTCAGACGTACCTGGCCGGAAGGGATCACCTCAAACACGTCTCCCTTATTTCCACCCGCGATGTGGTACGTGATGGCATTTGCTGGTGATGGCTTTGACGAGCTGCCCTGTACAGAGGTGAGTACAGTCCCAACAGACTGTGTTTCTGGATAGTTAAACGTGTCAGTGCCCACACTGATAGTGGGGAAGCTTGCAGCAGGCTGGAAGCTGATGGTGACGCTGGCCGTATCCGTACCAGGATTGGGTCCGAGATCGCTGGCGGTGACCTGGAGGTTGTACTGGCTACTGGTGTCGCTGAGGGTCATCGCCGTGGAGATGACCCCGGTGACCCTGTCGATGCTGAAGCGGTTGGCGTCGCTGCCGGAGAGGGAGTAACGGACGTCGCCATTGGTGCCTTCATCTGGGTCGGTAGCGGAGGCAAGAGCCACAAATGTACCTGAAAAACATACAAAAACACAATTTGAGAACTCGTATTATAAAAAGGAAACCTTAGGCCTTAAAAAAAAATTATAATGAATTGTTTCATGAAATATGGTTCAAAAAGGAGGACTTCTATTGCCATGTAGAAAGTGACTTCCCAAATCTAATCAAAGAGATCAGTGTTCCAGTGTTCCTACATGTAAGTTGACAAGTTCTCCAAAGAACGGGCCATCACGTCAACTTGTCAAGCCAACATGACACAGTTGTTTCAGACAGACAGTAATGTGTTGTTTCGAGTGTGGCAGACATGAAGCACTCTCCCAGTACACAGGAAATACCTGGCCAAACTTAGCCGGGCCGGAAGCGGGGTGAGTACAGGAACACGCATGTCGATAGCAACAATTTGCAGCCCAAACTCTTCTGTGCTTTATCTGAGTAATTAGCAGAACATGATCCTGACCCCTTACTTCCTCTACCCATGGGGGAGGCTGGGCCTGAGACCACCATGTTGGATAACGGAGGTCATTTGAAGGTCAGGCTAGTCCTAAGTGAACCCTGTATGACTCCCCCAGTTGCCTGAACTTGTCCGTTGCCAAGTTCATCTGGCATGTTGTGGGTTAGGTGGTCTGACAATGCTGTTTACTTGCTCAAAAGCAACCAAATCCTTCCACAAATAAAGCCAATTCCTTTACTTAACATTTGTCATGAGCAAATTCCAGACTGAATTCTGTCTCCAAGGGATTAAGGTACCCATGTTCAAGTAGCCCAAAAAGAATGGACATGTAAGTTGGAGAAGAAAGAGCAAACATATCAGGATGGCAGAGAGCTTATGTTTGGCATACTCGACATGACGTTTTCGACAACGCCACCAGACGTTTTGATGTCTCTATCAAAAAAGAACAACTCGCTGGACGGGAGAGTTTGCCCTCAGCGTACCCAAGTAAACGCTGGTGCTGAAGGACCACTTAAGGTGTCTGTCCACTTGTCTTGAGATGCACAGACCATGTCTTATGCCTCATCAGCAGAGGACAGAAGTTCACCCTTGTTTTTTTGGGCGATGTAGGTTTAATCATGGGGCATGTGCGTAGCAAGAAAAGAATTCCTTAACATGTTTTTGCAAGCGAGGATCTCTTTTCAAGCCATGACAGTTTGCTGTGTTGAGCTGCATACCAGTCAATCCATTTTGTGCGAAAGTTAGGCAAAACATCAGGACTGTTACCTTCTAGTCTGTCTTCCTGTGTGTCCAATGTATTGAAAAAGATAATTGCATCTTTCTAACAACAGCCCTATTGTAAACAATTGGTAAAAGGTTAACTACAATGTAAAATAGCAAAGAGGGCCAAACATGGGAGCACAGGGCTCTTCAAAAAAATAATCTTTTTATAATCCTTTGCCCCCATGGTTTGATCAAAATGTCCAGATTCTGAAGTGAATGTTGTATTTCCAAGGAATAATGGGTACAAGTTGGGGAAGAAATGCTACGCTTCCAAGAGGAAATGCTACATCCCTAAAACGACTACTACATTTTCAGGAAAGATCGTCACATTTTAGACACCCATCTTCAGGGCTCGAAATACTGGTTGCATGTGCACCTTAGTGCACCCAAAATTGGAGCTGTGCACCCAATTTTTTTCTGTGGGTGCACCAGTGCACCCAAATATTTTTGTCGGTATTTTGTACATATCACATGTATAATAGTATGCATTTAATTTATATTCTTGGCATCTAAGTGTCAAAAAAATAATAAAATCTTTGTTGTAGTACTTGTTTAGGATTTTGAAGGATATCAGGGAGTACTAGTCAGCATCATCTATTCCCATTTCCGTAGTTGTTCTTACATGTTAGGCCATGTTGATTTGATTATATGGATGACATCCGCGCGCGCATAAATTTTCTGCCGTTTCCAAAAAAAAAAAGTTTTCAACCATACTGTAAATAGTACAAAACAGTTGCAAAATGAGCAAAAACCATATACCAATGTCGCAGAATGCCAAAATCAAACGAAAAAAGACGAAATTGTAAAGAAATGAACTTGAAGACTAGATAATTCGCCAAACCATATTCTGTCCCATTTGTTCAACCCTCATGACCACGTAGATTTCATAATAAAAACAACTTTTTTTTTTGCAAAACTTTTTTTTTATTCGCACGCGCGCATCAGTTTAGGGGTTCCCGGAGGATGTCATCCATATAATCAAATCAACATGGCCTAAGTCGGTGATGAATTGTTGGGTACCCCAGAGAAAAGAAAATTGAAACATCACCGCTCCCAACCAGGCTATCAATCTACCAACCTTCTTAGTGCATCAATGTTTACAGATGAGGAAATCCTAGCTTGTCAATTAGTGATGACAGATTTCTATCTAGTGAGTCTGACATTGGTAGGGCGATCAGGTATCGTTTGACCGTATATATAAGGCCACACCAATTTAATTTGTTGGTTCTCGGATTCACCTCTTCATTTTTTTCTGATTTTCAAAAAAAAAAAAGATTCTGGTTCTGAATCAACTCAAAAATGCTCATATTTTGCCCCCAACAGTTGAGGAAATTCCTTTTCTTCCTAGTTGTTACAGTTTTTTCCATCTATCAATACAGTGGTATCATTAAAAGTTCAAAATTCATTGTTTAAATTTTGAACCAGCCTGGTGTGTTGGCTTCATGGCTCCTATCGTACCATTTTGGGCCATAATAGGATGCCGAGGCCTGTTTTTATTTTTATTTTTTTCGCCCGCCCGTTCCATTATTTTTCTAGAAAAATCCGTTAACCAAGAAGTCAAATTGGTGTGGCCCAATAGATATAATAATTGTAGATCTGCTTGAGGACAATTGTGCTGTGACATGTGCGTAATGGTTGAATTTCTGTACCAAAATCCACATTTATCTTTTTATTTCTGTACGCAAGTGACTGAACTTCCTGGAGCAAAATCTGGGGAATACAGATATAGAGAATCTTTGATCAAATTAAGATTCAATCCACCATAAGGAATGGCTTGTGACAGGTGGGATATCTTAAGAAAACTGCCTGACACTATCTCTGTAGTCTTGAAGAAGTCCGTGAGAATTGCTTCTGAACCTTGAGGGAAATTCTCTGAAGCTTCACTGAAGGCCAACGAAGTTGAATAATCTATTTTAAATAAATTGTTTCCATTTTCTATATAGTACTGTAAGCTGTAGTTGCATGACATGTATGGCTGATAGAAGCATAATTTGCTATAAAATGATACTCCAGACCTGAATCTTTAAGAAAGTACAATTTCTGTCAGAATTGCAGTCATCTTTTCTTTTTTACCTCTGTCAACTGATCATGATTTTCCTTGATCATTTTAAACAAAAAAGTATACAATGAACATGCAGAGAGACATCTACGTCAATTTACAATCACGCACAGGGGCCCAACAATTTGGAACAACCTAAGTAGAACTTTACAAATTAGTCCCTCCTTCACCATTTTCAAAAACCATACTAAAGTAGCTTTCATAAATAACCCCACACATTCCTAATTTTTGTTTATGTTTCCTTGTTTACTACTTTCATTACTACTTTTCATTATAGATAGTATTGTATCGTATTGTATTTTATTGTTTTGTTTCATTTACCCGTTACCTAAGTTATTTCTTATTTATCCGACTTATTTGAATTGTTAATCATGTTATGAAGGGAGGCCTCCTCATAAGCATTTTATGCTTCCGGCCTCCCTGCACTGTTACATTTCATTTATATTTTCTTGTATTTGTATTGTTACATTTTGTTTTAAAGTGCGAAATAAACTGAAAACTGAAAAAAAAAAAACTGAAACATTAAACAAGCAATCAAATTAGCTTGGCCAGGCTGCAGATTGAAATCAGCTCTGGAGTAGCTCTCCAGAATGAAGTGGAGATTGAAAAGGAAGCAGCTGGCCTTTGGGGTGTATCCATGGCATTTTCAGCTTCTACACATACCTCAGGTGGAAATTGACTGACATGTCAGCGCAGGTTTGGTGATAGCACAGTGCCCGGTAGGGCTGCGGACCGGTACACTGTACCGGTCCAATACCGTAAAAATCGTTTCGGTACAGGTCCAAAATACCGGATCATGAAGTAACGAGTATATACCGAAATAGCTAGTTTACACCATGTATATGACTAAAGATAGGTAAATCCTACCACAAACACGAAAAATTAGCACTGGAAAAGACGTAAACACCGTCGATTGATTTGAGATCCTCATTCTCACGAGACATCGCGAGAGTGTGGCTGATCCAGGGTTGTGATTGGTCAACAAACTCAAATCAGGTCAGAGGTCAGTCATTTTCCCTTCCCTCCAACACTTTATTATTGTTTCTGTGTCATGATTGAAAAAGTGAAGAACACGTGTTAATTTGTCAAATTGTTCAGGTACAGGTACAGGTCCGGACCTGTACCTAAACCTCTGTACCAGTACCTGTACCTGTACCTGATGTTACGTTTAGGTACGCAGCCCTAGTGCCCGGGGCTGCAGGGTGCTACAGTTGGTATGGGAAATGAAGGACCACTTCCCCTTGTTGGGGGAAGTCTTGCAGTCAAAGCTGAAGGGATAGGTTACCCCCTCAAGGGGAATACAACTAGGGCAGGCAAGTATAGATTTTTAGAAAGGAAATCTAAATCTTTGAGAAATACAGATGTGTTTGAGACAACTGCTTTCCTTTGATTGACTGTATGAATTTTTTGCTGTCTTTGTCGGGTATCTAACCTACTGACACAACATGATTGTACTTTTATTCTCTTCTGACTACAATTTTTTCCCCATTCTTTTTTTTTTGTTTCAATACTTGAGATACAAGAATCTCAATACATAAGAATTAAATCTTTAATTTCTCTGTAGATGTATAAAGAATCTTTATGGCTGACAGTGAAAATGATGAAGAATTAAAACTCACCTGTGGGAGCATTGTCAGGTAGGTAGGCGTCGATGGAACGGTCGGCGAACGCGGGAACGTTGTCGTCCACATCGCTGACGGTGACGACCACCGTGGCAGAGCTGGAGCGAGCGTTTGAAGCGCTGCTATCGGTGGCCGTCACGACCATGGTGAAGAGGGACTGCGTTTCCCGGTCCAGTAGCCCAATGGTGATGATCTGACCAGTGGAAGGGTTCACTTCAAACTTGTCACCAAGGTCTCCCGTCAACGTGTATCTGAGGCAATAGAACAAGGATTGTGAGACAAGAAGGCTCCTACCTTGAGGTGTCGCCAAAAAATTCAACAAATTTCATGGTAAGCGATGACAATGGCCAAAAAACGAGTCTGGATCATCTTAGAGCATTTACTGACTTACAAACAAAATATCTATTCTTGGATGAACAAAAATAATTGAACACAGAGGTCTTTTCTCTAAAATTTCTTCATTGTTTGAGGAGGGCCTGCAAGGGGGGGGGTCCCGACAACGCTCTACGCTGAATTTGGAAACCTCTCAATTACGCTTTACGATAAATTCCAACTGGCTACAACACATTACGTAGAATTAAAACGCCGAATACAACAAACATGTATGCTCTACGCAAAAAATATTAGAGCGGTCCGTCTACGTAGAATTAAAACGGCCGATTACGCTCTACGGAAAAGGGCTTGCGGGGCCCCCTTTGAGAAGTGGGGCAGGCCTGGTATCTGTGGTAAATCAGTCACAAATCTGTGTTTATGGTGGGTGGGTGGGAAGCCCCTGGCCTTGGTCATGCCTACAGCAACAAGACAGACACTTCCTACTTCCCTAGACCACCTGGAGCTAGTAATATACCCATGGGAAATAAAGGCTTGGGTCCCGACCTGACTGAGACACTATGGCGCATGTGTGGCCTATTAGCGAAATTATAATTGGTCATGGCAGCAAAATCTATAATATATAATTGTATCTCATAGAAAGGCAGAAATTAATAATCTTTTTCCTATATTCACTATTTTAATCTATTGCCAACATTCAAAATGGGTTCAGTTTCAACTGTAGCTCACTGGTAAAAGATTGCTTTCTTGACAACTTTGCTGAAGGCTGTCTCCTTTGCTTCCTTAGACCTGACGTCTCTTTCCAAGAGACATCCTAGAAGACATATTCCCCAAGATGTTGTCAAGGAAGACTCAACACCTGCCAAGGGTGCTGCCTCTGGCCTTCAAGGCCAAGGGTTGCCACCTCAAGGTCAAAAGTGACAATTGCAAGTCAAGATGGACCTCTGGCTCAATCAGGCAATAAATTGGGGTCGACTTATGAACAATTTCTACTCAATCTAGGCCCAAACACTCCAGGCTAGCCATTCATTTGATCGGGAGGCGTATCGTGTTACATGGATCACTAAACTTCTGGGACGTACCACTGAGAAATTAGGGGACAGGGCTCTGTTTCTTGTAAAATAATGAACCTATACCATTATTAGGTCACAGTTTGTTTACCTGTTCTAAAGAACATTCTAGAACGGTCAGTTAAAGAAATTCAATAAAGATCATTTCAAAGTTTTCAAACTAAGCCTAAGGTATGTCTGATTTTTTGCTGCGTCTGTTGTGTTGACACAGCATTACATGACGCATGGGTGATTTAGTTGTGACATTAGACGAAAGTAGTACTGTATTAAAAGCCTTATATTAGGCTAACGCTACACAAACACACACCGCGCTACACACCCCTGTACAATATAAACGTCGATTGACCGGCATTCATTGCGGTAAACAAACTGTGACGTAATAATGGTATAGGTCCATTCAGACATGCCAAGACACAAGATTGGAGAGAGGAAGTCTTCACACACACTTGCGTGACCTGTAAGACTTTGGTACTACACCTTAGTAAGTGTGAACTTTGAAGAATGCCGTCTTAAGCTTTTAAAAGCCTTGTAGAGAGACAGAACTGAATGTGTTACGGGAAGTATAGCGAGACCTGTTTTGGGGATGACATAGTTGGAAGTAACAAATTTCTTGGAGGTAACAAAATTTCTCGTCTAATGGCTTCAGTTTGGACCATACACCTGGAACTCCATCCAGATCGTGCTTTAGTTTACAAGAAGCCATTTTTTTCTGGTCATCAGATGAAGAACAGATGCTATGTACAGAGCACTATGCCCAGATTTTTGATGTGCTACCACAGGAAATTCTATACTTTTTTATGCAAATCTCTGGTCATCATTTCGAAGTTCTAAAACTTTTTGTATGAAGAGAAATGCAGAATGCATAAGGTAAAGAAAATACAGTTAATACGCACTTAGTAGGAAGACATTGTTTACCCAAATATGATCTTCGTTATGTCTATAACATATTTCGATAATCTCCAATAGACTTTTCCATGGGTGTTAGGCACAGACAGAGGTAACATCACACCAGCCTTACATCCTCTGTAACAACAACAAGTGTTCTGACAACATCTGATAAAACCAGTTTGTTTTTCTTTACGATTTGCGCTGTGCCTTTGGTAGTAAACAGGAAAAGTTTGAAGAGGGGTAAGGAGGTATGGGCACGTACGGATAGAAAGTTACCTGTGAGAGCTATACCCAGGCCTTGGTCCATTTGCTATAAATATAGAATACAACACGGGGTATTCCGTATCGCCCAATGTATCAGCCCGACCGTGCATCGTATTGCCCGATGGCCGAAGGCCGGAGGGAGATCCGACCCGCTGGAGGGCTCGGACCGAGGGTGATGCGGAATACACCGTGTTGTATTTTATTTATGTCATACCCACCCAAGAAAACACGCTTTTTAATGCGAAATGAGCGAACATTTGGTGTCTCTTAACCCAAAACAAATGCACCAACATCAATTCCAACGTCCAAATTTTGTGTTCAAATTTTCGAAACTGGTGCATGCGGTTAGGGCGAAACGCGTTCAAATCGTTCTATGGAACATTTGGAAGCCCCGGGCCGTACGCGTTAAGAACCCCCGGGCCGTACCGCTAGTTATCACACGGGCCGGAACACCCGTATCGAACGCAATTGCGGCCCAGGTAGGACATAAACCATGATATCAAACCAAACAATGAAACCGACTAATATATACTGGGAAGCACAACGGATAAATTTCTCACCTGATGTTTCCATTTTGCCCAGCATCCAGATCAGTAGCGCTGACCAATAGCACGTCGGTATTCACTGGTACATCTTCAGCGATGGTTGTCGTGTAGGTTTGTTGGTCGAACGTTGGCGTATTATCGTTGACATCATCAACAAGCACGCGGACTGTCCCTGTTCCTGTAAGTCTGGGAGAACCTGGAGAAACAGAAGAAAATTTGATGATAAGTTTAAAAGTAAATACACATTTTAAGCTATATTAAATCTTTAATCGTCAAATTTAATTACAGACAGGAAGTAACATAAGAGACTGGTACTGATGCCTCCATGGTATCCGACATTCAAACATACATTATAAGAATGGGACTAAGTACAGGTATTTGAAAACTTATACCCAAAGGTAATGATACCCACTGGCTCCGCTCCAGTGGTGTCGCCAAAAAACGTCAATAACTAATCTGCACTGCAAAGCTTCGCATCCAGTCAGTGCATCTTACAAACCTATACTGTCACTAATGATACAAGACAAGAGCCTGTCAGAAATATTTCAGCCATGGTAGCCATGCGGAAAGAGTTTAACAGTGTTCATGTCAACAGGACTCCCACCTGTCAGTGTTTTACAGGGCCTCTAACAGATACCGCATGTTATTGCAGTCTAAGTGAACGTGTTGAAAGAGAGGGCATTGCCAACTCAATTATGTGGTTCCCAAACTCGTAGCAAAAAGATGGAACTTGTAAAAAGCAGACTCTGCCATTCCTACCTGTTATATAGGTAGTCATAACCCTAATTTAAGACATGACATAATAAATTATGTATTTTGCCAATGCTAGTCAAGGCTGCTATTCTTGTACACCCAATTTTATCACCTTTTTCCTGACAAATTTCTGGTATTTTTGTTTCAATTACTCTAAAACTCGTATCTTCTCCAGTCTTAAATTCAGATCAAATTTTCACCTTTCTCAGCTTCAATCTAAATCCAGGCAACCTGAAGAACAACACGTGGAAATGAAATCCCAACACACCTAGATACGCGTGTTTGCTTTGGCGACTTACGCCGGCTTTCCCGACTGTTATCACAAATTGAGTTTGGCTCCTTCCTAAGTGTAAGCACAACAAGACGCAGGGCCACGCTGACAAACAGGAAAGCTGCCTTGTTACTGTGACTTTTCCCTGGCTATTTTGGGTGAAAATAAACTGGACCCTGAGAGAGATCACCGGGTCAGCTCTTGTGCCCCGGTAAGCTAGGATAATTTCCAGACGCGACAGAGGAATACAAACCCTAATTTAATTCATGGCAAAAGGGAACATAGAAAAGAAAGAAAAACAAAGATGACGATATGGTACTACAATCTTTGTTTTTATGCAAACGGCATTGAACAGAATGACTGACTGAATGAATCAATGAATGACTGAATGAATGAATGAATGAATGAAGCATTATGAATGAATGAATGAATGAATGAATGAATGAATGAACCACTAGAAAATCCAACTAATTTCTCTGTATTTCTATTTGCAACCACCTGTTTCTCTTGAAACTAGGGAACATGAAAATTCCTCCTTACAGTAGAAGTAGTGACTAATAAACTTTTACGTCAGATACAGAACCAGAGACTGCATCTACGCTAAAGTTCAAAGTTGAATTTAGAGTAATTCAATTAAGCCAGGGTCAAAATAAGACACCTTGTTTACAGTGTTGCCTGGCAACAAAATTAGGCTGCCTGAAGGAAAGAATCAAGGAACACATAATGACACAACAAAAAATTATCTTAAATGATAATAATATTAAGATACGATAAGACAAGTTGGCCTGAAGGAAGGAAATATACCATCCATATCTTGAATGACTAAATCTTGTTTTAAAGTTCACAATCAGTACAAGCATCTTAAGTTGTTACACATAAACAAAAAAATAAAATAGGAAAAAGGAAGAACAAGGGAACAATTTCTACTGTAAATTTCAAACGCAATTTATGATTGAAAGAAAACATGTCTGTCGTATTTTGTTTTTATAGAGACCAGCCTCAAAGTAGGGCAGAAAAACAGTGACAGTCACTGTACTTTCAAAGCTAGCTTCTTTCTTCATCTAAATATTAGTTCCAAATATTTGTGAACAGGGACAGAGCAGCTTGTACATATAGGAAGTCGGCGGATCTAGCGCAGAACAAACTTGAAACCCAAGCTGTGAGACCGGATGACGCAAACAAAAACTTGACTTTCTTTGGAGAGGACACAGTCAAACAGGTCTGTGTGGCCAAGGAGGTGCGTGACGCAAGTCAAACTAAGGCCACAGCAAGTAAATTTTATGGATGACATCCTCCGCAGACTCCAAATCTAGGAGCGAGCGGGCGAAAAAAAAACAAGACGGGCCAAAAAAAACAAGGTTCCTACATTTTAAAATTTTGACTCAATCATAATATATCTACAAATGGTTTTGATTCAGTGGGAACATCACATATAAACAGCCAACATCACTTATCACTGCATCAAAGTAAGAAACAAAACATTAAATCAGAGCCTTTTCTTGTCTCCTCTCTTCATAGTTATCTGCCATCCACCTTCCAGCATGGCAACAGACATGGCAAATTTTTGGCATGTTGACCACTGTCAGAAGGCAACACAATTTCTTTTTTTTTCCCAAATTCAGACGAAAATTAATGCACGTGCTGATGTCATCCATAACAATTACTTGCTGTGGCCTAAGTGAGTTTACTTGGTTAAAGCAAGCTGGGGGTGTTAGACTGATACATGTATAGTACCACAGCCTCCTAACTTGACAGGGGTGGAGATTATATTGAACTACATCAAACAATGTGCCTACTTCAAGTAGAGTGTTCTGGGGAATTTTTGAGGTTGGCAAATTGGAGACATCTGGCCTTTGGTGGGTTAGCTTGCCAAAGGTTAAGTACCGTCTGATTGAGAACTGAAGGTCGGTCCATTAAGATAAAAAAAACTTGATGATAAGAATAGGTAGGTGTTATCAGCAATAGAGAAGGTTGTTAAGAATAATACATTAAGAGCAGGCAAAACTAGGAGCACGAACCTAGACAAACTCAGCCATTATCTCCGTTTATGTAAGATATTTCTGAAATTTTGAATAAAAAATCTAACCTGTTCCCTTTTCACCAAAATAACAATCAACAAATCAATTAAGGGGGGCCCCGCAAGCCCTTTTCCGTAGAGCGTAATTGGCCGTTTTAATTCTACGTAGAGCGTAGACGGACCGCTTTAATATTTTTGCGTAGAGCGTTTTTGGCTTTTTAATTCTACGTAATGCGTTGTAGCCACTTGGAATTTATCGTAAAGCGTAATCGAGAGGTTTCCGAATTCAGCGTAGAGTGTTGTCGGGACCCCCCCCCTTGCAGGCCCTCATTAAGCAACCAACAATCCAACCAAACAACCTACTAGCCAATCACCTAACCAACCAAACAACCAACCAACCAAAAAACCAAACAACCAACTAGTCAATCACCTAACCAACCAACCAACCTACCAACAAACCAACCAACCAACAAACCAACCTACCAACCAACCAACCAACCAACCATCCAACCAACCATCCAACCAACCAAACAACCAACCAAACAACCAACCAACCAACCAACCATCCAACCAACCATCCAACCAACCCTTCTAAAAACATAACATGACCTCCTTGACACAACTCTTTGATGTGAAAGTGACTGAAGTAGTGACATTACAGGATTATCACTGTCTAGTCCAGACCTTCAGCATAGCTTCAAACGTGGGTGAGAAACCCATTACAGTTTCATCACTTGTGAAACATCTGGAAAATGTCCAAGCCTTGGAGGACAGACGGCAGGAAAACAACGCCGTCCCTGTCTATCTTTCTCAGTGTATCACCCTTATACTAGTTTCAGCATGTCACAGGAGAGTCTATAGTGTTTGAAAAAAGGTTATCAAGTCCACTAGGGCAATCAGGTTCTTTTCTAAGGCCACACCAAGTAAATTTTATGGATGACGTCCGTGTGCGCATTGATTTTGGCATGTTCCTAAAAAACAAGAAATTCCACTTCCTGTAACTATGACCAAAGAGTCACGACAGTGCCGCAAATCGTCAGATTGACGTGAAACCCGTAACGCTAAGAAAGTGTCTATTACCATCCTGTTTTCACTGTCCACTGTTCCACCTGATTTATTGCTGTTTTGATGATGAATAAAAGACTTCTTGCTTGTTAAACTGTGACACCTCATTCAATTTGTGCCCTAACAATTTTGTCATTCTAATCTAGGCATCTTGTTTTTTAGGGCCGTACTTGTTTTTTTTTTTTCGCCCTCTCGCATTAGGTTCAGGGTCTCCAAAGGACGTCATCCATAAAATTTACTTGGTGTGGCCTAATATAAGACAAAAACTTGTTAACCTTAAAACTTGCTAACTTTTGCAAACCTGTCTTAAACAGAGTGAAATCACTTTACAGACTTTACAACGGTTTTGCTGACAAGTTTAAAAATCTGTCCAATCCGTACATTTCCTTCAGCATACTTAGAAGGTGGACATCAATTGCTACATGATAATCAATCGTTCTAAGACATCAGATTATCAGTTATGTTAAAAAATGCAAAACAACAACGTTATTTGGGTATGCTACAATTTCAGCCTTTGTTTCTTATAAGCTTCTGTTTTCTCCATTCAGTACTAATCATCTCATTATTGAACTTGTTTTGGGAGATAAGAAATTCCAGAAAAAAGCCAGGGATAAAGGACAGGGTAACAGTAGAACGCAGGGTGACGATAGGGGCATGAGGGTCACCTCTTCATAATCCAGGTATAATTAACAGGCAAAAACAAATTTATTACTTGAACCTCAGACTTGTACATGTCGTTTGACCATCGGCAAAACAAATGTTCTCCTGCAGTACCAAGGAAAGATGCCAGAGGGCCCAAAATTCAATCATTTCTTTACTAGGTCAAGACCTAACCACATACCAAATTTCATAAGAATCTGTCCATAGCTTCAAAGTATGCAACTAAAAACACTGTAACAAACAAATGCTACCAAAACATAACTTCTTCTCGAAGGTAATATATATATAATTGTGCAGGGACAAAACGTTCACCAAATGCTGTTTCCATCTGATATCATATTCCAAACAATGCCTGCTGTTATTATAGTTAATAGGTTACACGATCCAAGAACCAGATTCTTGTCCTGACCCGGCCTACACTGTATAAGCC